GATTCTCAAGGTCAACTGATCAGCCCATGCTCGCAAACATGAAATCCAAAATAAGGCATTTGTCAAGCGAGTTCTGGGGATCTAACATCCCCAACAGAAACGTTTCAAGCTATCCAAATCCATATTTCACGATAACTTAAATTACAATGGTCACTTGTTGTCCGATATCAGAGTTGCTTTGATAGTTTTAATATCGAATACCGGTTATTGTTAAAGGAAAACAATTTTTGAACACAATCAATAAACATTTTAATGCCTTTTTTGTAGTTTATTAGACTTCTTTTTTAAGTAAAGTTCTATGTTATATTGTTTGTATTTAGTACAGTATACTAACTAGAGCACCACTGTTTTATGATTATAATAAATAAGATTCTCCTTCTTAATTTGTATTTCTTTTGTTTTTTTGTATCCTCTGATTCAGACTGAATACTTAACTCGTATTCCTGCTTGGTTACCGGCTACTTTTACATCAACTTCGTTAGATTCAGCTGAAGCAGTTAGTTATAGACTTTATCGTCGTTTGTCCAGAATGCCATTATCGAAGAATTCTGAAGATAATTTATCTTATGATCATACATTATATGAAAGAGATAAACCAGATGTTCACATTATACACAATAAAGATCAATATACTGATTATCATAAACTGGAAGATGATGAATTAGCTTTACTTCGTGCATCACTTACAGATTGTAGACAATTAGTTTTCGATAAGCAAACATCAACATCTAATTTATCTAATGATGCTAATTGGCGTGCAAGTCATTTAGATCAGATTACTGAACAAGGTCTTAGATTTCTTAAATTAGGTTTTGATCGTCAGGTTAGTTAGTGAAGTTATGTCTTTTTTTTTTAATTTTTTCAAAATTTAATGCTAAAATAATATTGATTGACCAGGATGAGGTCGATGAGTAAAATTGATAAAATTATCTAGCCTATAAATATTATCCGTTCGATATTTTTGTCACCTATTATAATATGTACGACATTCTTTTGTGTGGAGTTAGTCAACCATAAGTAACGCTGGATGTGGTTCGATTTTGTTACACCATACTAACACAGTATGATGAAACTATCAAGAAAATTTTAGAGTAGTAGATGTCGTTTTATTACCGGTGGTAATAGAAAGCATTGAGTATAAACAATATGGTTTAAGAAAAAGCAATTAATTTACGGAATCAAAACAAACTGACTAATTTAAACCTTTATCTTCTAGTATTAGTTAAAATAAATTACACAGACCTCCCTGATTATGTTGTTAACTAATTTGAGTTTCGGAATTGTTTTTATAAGTAGACAATGGTCGTTTTCTCCACTGTGGGATCGTCACATGCGCTGCTGTGGCAAGATTTCCTCACTTGGTATGTCGAATTTCTCATCAGTACTTAGATAAATGTCGTCAGTTTTGTGTAACCAACTGAGATATTTAATCCTGATGTGTTTTTAATAATGAATATAAAATAGTATGTGTTGACGCTATGATGTAAGTTACACTTATGGAACAATGCTGTTTCATTCTGGATTGACAACAAAAAACACAAAAAGTCACATTACGAAAGCCATCTGTAACTGTGTCCTGTGATGTAACTTGACTTAGAGAAAAGAGTTGTAAAGTTGTTTTCACATCAAGGTATCGTTTTCGCTATCAATGGTCATCAATCGTTTATTCGTTCGTTTATACATTTAAGTCTGTTAGATTGATTTTTGTGAGTACTAAGTTAATTTTTCATTGACAGTTGGTGATAACCATTTCTTGTTTATGTAATATGTAATTGGCCACAGGATTGAGCTGTGATGTTCACGTTTTAAAGAGCCTAGATGGTGTTTAGTTCTGAAAACCGATACAAGATTACCGTCTTGAAGGGTATATTTATAATTGTGAATAGCATCCACAGTGCAATAGTAGAATGTTCACTTGTCACATGGGCTATCCGGGTTCAATTCACGACCGATATAAACCTTATGTGGAGTATTAGATTTGAAGTTTAAGTCTCGATCTAATTACTTCAGTTTGGGCAGCTGGTTAGTCACCACTACCTTTTATATTTAAAGCCTGGTAGAAATCGGAGTACATAAATACAAACTAGGAGACTTGTACCGACTGATCATCACAAACCCATTGATTAATACACAAGGTTGTGAATCCTTTAGTTGTGTTTTGCAGCATGTGAAAATATTTATTCCAATCCTTTTATGAATGGGAAATAGTATGATCTTAATGCCTCACTCATATACAGTACATTTTGTTGATTGGAATTAGTCAAGTGAACATTGCCTACAAATAATGTCACAAACAACATTAAAAAAACGATACCAAACAATAAAACTGACCGACAAACTAGGTATTTTTCTTCTATCAAAATGACAGATTTTTTTCTAATCTAAAATGACAACCATAGAATAGGAATTATTGTATGTCATTTAAAACATTATCATTATCACTAGTTAGTTTGATGTGATTTGTTATTCGTCAAGAAATAATCTTTGTATTGTTTAACTCCACCCTACTGTTTTTTTAGCTGTATTGAATTCAATCCTTAAATATACTGTATTTCTATACACTCGGGTAAATCTATTTAGAATAAAATGACAGTTTTTTTTAGTGAAATATATTTTGATTTAAGATAACCATACGACAATTTGTGTAGAAAGTGTAACTGTATCATTATGAAAACTGTGTTCTCTTTATTGAAGTCAAAGATTGTTTGGCATTCGTCAACTGGATATTTGTGTGTGTGTGTGTGTGTGGATGAAATACACGTCCTAGATTCCACTATGAACCGTTACTCACCCCTGCTAACAATACTTATCACCTAAAGGCCATACTGAGGCAATAATACTGTACAGGATGTCCATATGCCAAAACAAACTGATCAATTGTAGTCCTAATAAACATCAATGGGAAAAATTCAAAACAACTAATACAAATGAATTCCCCATAACTTGAATTTGTATTTGAATGTAAAGAATCAATGAGAGACCAGATCATTTTATAAAAATAGCCAAGCTGTTTATAGATTGTAATCCATCCACTTTTATAGGGCTTATCACTTATGCGTGTGTGTGTGTGTGTGTGTAGTGCTTATGCAAAATGCATGTTTTCTGCATTACACACTATGTACAAACTTTCACAGATTCTTCTGTAACACAAACATTGATGTATTGTTCGATTGATTCAATACTACACACATGTCTTATAAGTGGATTATCGTATTATTTAAAAAAAAAAATGGTACGAATTACAATCATAAATTTTTTATTTTTCTTGAGATCTATGTATAATACATGTTATTCTATTTAAGATTTTGATTTTTTTTAAAGATTCATTTTATTTAATTATTTATTCTGAAAGGATAGAAATGTAGAAAAAATATCTTTAGAAATGATTATTTTTTTTTCGGAACAACTTCATAAGCTGTAGAATATCTATTCAAATAGACAAGCTACTTTTTTTTTCGAATAAATTATCTTCTGTCTTATAAAAAAAAAACATTATTAGATTATAATAACCAGTATTCATAGTTGGTTGATTTGATAGATTGAGAGAGATTTATGAATTCAAATCATACTGGACAGTATATTTGTTCATCTTTCTTTTTTTCAGTCTTCAATAGTATTTTGCTTATTCTCCTAGTGTTTTTATATCTGAGAATGATATAATTATTCGGATTGATTTGTGCTTTTATCTCGCATCTTACTTGTGTCAATTGTCAGAACTCCTCAATTCAGTAAATGAATATTTTGTATAAGTCTTTCAGATTTTGTTTCTTTCATTATAAATTGAGCGTATTCAAGAGATAAAATGAATATAACAGTTCATCATAAAGATTATAACTTGAGTACAACGATTAGATTTTAATGATCACTGAGAGTTATTTGTAGCAATAATGATTTCTCTGAGTAAACAATTCGGTGAAGTATTTCGTTCATTTCATAAAATAATGTCTTTTTAAGTACACTTTTCTCATTTGAACTACCTACTGCTTTTCATTTCATATAGCAATCTGAAAAAACTGAAGATATAAGTAAGTACTGGTTACTTATTTTATTTGAGTATTATTATTTTTCTTTGCCTATACTTGATATTTCTTCAAACGATACGCTACAACTTTTTTCTTTCTCACTATTCTATGCTGTTCTTAATTATTTGAACTAGATAAGTTATTCAATATACAGGAAATGTTGAGTAAATCTCATTCACTAGTCGTCAGTAAGTACCCTAGTTACCGGGGCTTGTTCACTTTATCGGTTTTATCATTGTGTTAGTAACTCCCATATCACTACCGTATATTAAGATTGGAAATTGTCGTCTGCAGCTCATAAAATATATTTCACTTATGTTAGTCAATAAAAAAATTGAAATCATGAATCGATCAATGTTAGAATATCATTAGAAACCTGGAAGCACTGGACGGTCGTTTCGTCCTGGTATGGGACTTATCAGCAGTGCGCGTCCACGACTCCCGTAACAGGACAAAACAGCCGTCCAGTGCTTTCAGGTTTCTAATGATGGCCTAACATTGATTGATTCATGATTTCAAATATGTAGTTTAACAATCTTCACAATCCCGTAATGCAATAAAAAAAACTTACTATCTGATCAACTAGCTTATCACACTACTTGAGAAATATTTTAAAAATGTCAGTTGTTTTTAAATTAACTGTAGCTAGTGAAATAATTGTTTTCATCTTCTATCATTAGTTGAGCTACCAGAGTAAGTTTATTGTTTAAAATATAAAAGTTAATCTAATCTAATATAAGGAATGTGTATCATTTCAGATTTGGTGTTTTCAGTGTATAAACTAACTGCTTTATTAATCATTTCATATTTTATTCATTTATTTGATTGCCAATAAAAAACAATGTTTTATTGAAGAAAAAAAAATAATCCACCTATTTCCTTTTTCATGAATAAAATAATTCTAGTACATTTTATATTTATGTGTTGTTATGCACTGAATATAAATTTCATTAAAAATCTTATTTCATTATCGTTAAAGGTTAAAGAACTGGGTGTTACAAGTTTCAATTATATCTGTATTTTTTTTGTCCGCATGTAAACAAGGATTCATATTCATATCACGGGTAAAAATTTATTTGAAAGTCAACACAAATTTTCTTTGTTACGGTACTTTTTAAGAAAATGATGACTACTACTACTACTACTACTCTTACTACTATTTGTAATTTTCTCTTTGGAATATTTGGTAATGAATATTTACTGTTGATTAAATTAATTTTTCTCTATCATTTTCGAAATCCTATCTTTTATACTTATTGTAATATGTTTGTTTACTCATTGCTTTTGTGTATATCTATATTCTGTTCTGTGTTAGATTCTCTTATCAACAGTTCACCGTGACAATACTACTACTACTACTACTACTACTACTACTACATCCTTCAGCCGAGGATTACAGATTTCAAGTCTTGCTTAAAAAATTTCTGTTGTTTGTCCAGATTTGTACATTCTAAACATTTGTTTGTTGGATAGTGTAATGAGAAGACAAAGATTGTCAGAACTATGTGATATATATTAGCGCAATACATTTCAAACAATGTGATCACACATATGGAAGAAAGCTAGGGGCGGCCAAAGCAAGATATGGTACTAGTCCATGAAGTCATTTACAATTGGACTGAGCCATGTTTATTGGTGTCCCGACCGAAGCTGCTACCTTGACGTGGTGGTCGGGCTTGCCTATCGTGATGACCCAACCGAGCTATACTGGCTGGAACACATGTTCCTGCAGGTCCTACCATGCCAGGCAGGTCGATTGGAGAACGATGAGACTAAAAGCGGCTACCCAAGGTCTGAGGGCGAAGTCGTACTGCTGACTGCAGAGGAGTGTGACAGCAGTAAGGTGTTTCCCTCGGACAACCAGCATCTGCAGCGATGCTGCCTTCTCATAATTAAGGAAGGGTTAGAAAAGGTCGGCCCTAAAAATGTCACACCTCCCCTACCTCACGGATTTCCGTCTCCTTGGGTAAGGGTGCCCACTAAGGGCCTTTAAGAACGGAGCTAATCCTCAAACAACGTTTCATAAAAAGACCGTTCGTGACCGGCCTCAAGCAGTTGTCCCTTGGACTCTGCGGTCACGCACCAACACTAATCCATCTTCCTTTTCAGGCTCGTCAAGAAACAACCTTCCACGTTGTGGGCAGCGGGGAAGTGACAACCGCCCTCATACCCGTAACAGCACACGAGACCAAATTGTTCAAAATCAAATCCTTCCTAAATTCCCTAATACCTCTCTTATCTCCACAACTAACTCTTCTCACATCCATTTATTACAGTGCACAGCTAATGCAAACGATGCGAGTTTGCGATGGATGCTCGAAAACGTATCCCACCTGACTCTGAACATGATGAAGAGCGTAGTCAGCTTAGGCGCAGACTTATAAAAAGCCTACGTAACGACCGCGAACAGTGGTGGGTGGCGAAAGCAAAAGCGATGGAAAAGGCAGCGGCGATCGGCAACACTAGACAACTTTTCCGCCTTATTAAAGAAACCGGTATTAGGAACCCGAATGTGAGTGAGACTATCTCGGAAAAGGATGGTCTTATTATCCATTCTCAATCTAGGAGGCTGGACCGATGGGCAGAACACTTCAGGGATCAGTTCAACTGGCCTTCAGCCACACTTCGGTTGCCCACGATCTCCAGTCATCCTGAATGGCAAATCGATTTAAGTCCTCCCAGTTTACATGAAGTTGAGAAAGCTATAGGAAATCTAAGGGGAGGTAGAGCGGCAGGTCCTGATAGGCTTACCCCTGAGATGTTTAAGGATGGTGGTCCAGTTTTAACGGTTAGACTGACCGAGATCCTAGGTCGAATCTGGAAAATGGACGTAATCCCATCTGACTGGTCTCAGTCGCTAATTGTCCCAATCTACAAGAAAGGACAGAAGTCCTCTTGTGACAGTCACAGGGGAATAAGTTTAATTAATATAGTTTCTAAATTGTTAGCCTCGATTATACTTAGACGTCTAACTAGAGCTCTTGAAGAGCAGACTCGAGAAAACCAGGCTGGTTTTCGACCTGGACGTGGTTGTATAGACCACATCTTCACATTACGACAGGTCCTGGAACACAGACACACATTTAGACGTCCGACAATAGTCGTGTTCCTGGACCTTAAGGCGGCATTCGACTCAGTGGATCGTGAGGTTCTGTGGCAGTGTCTGTCATTGAAAGGTGTACCAAAGAAGTACATTAACCTTATACAAGCACTCTACTCGAACACCACTGGTCGGGTGAGAGCATATGGCGAACTGTCATCTGAATTCTCTACATCAAGTGGTGTCCGTCAGGGCTGTCCACTCTCTCCATTCTTGTTTAACTTTGTCGTAGACATCCTCTTAGAGTTAACATTAAGCTCGTCAGATTTTTCAGGGGTTGACCTTCTACCAGGAAATTCGCTTACTGATCTGGAATATGCCGATGACATAGTTCTATTCGGTGAAGACGCTGATAAAATGCAGAGTCTTCTGACTACCATAAGCAACAATGCGAGCATGTTCGGGATGCGGTTTTCCCCCTCGAAATGCAAAATGTTGCTTCAAGACTGGGTTGCATCGGCACCTGAACTAGTGATAGGGAGTGAAGTAGTCGAGCGTGTAGATCACTTCACTTATCTGGGGAGTCTCATCAGTGCTGACGGTCTGGTGACTGACGAAATCTCAGCTCGGATACAAAAAGCTCGATTGGCCTTTGCCAACCTGCGTCACTTATGGCGTAGGCGTGATATCCGTTCGCTAACCAAAGGGCGGGTGTACTGCGCAGCAGTTCGTTCCGTTCTCTTATATGGCTGTGAAACATGGCCGTTAAGAGTAGAAGATGTTCGTAGGTTACTAGTATTCGATCATAGATGTTTAAGAAGCATTGGTCGTATATCGTGGGACAGCCGAGTAAGCAATGCTGTCGTTAGGAAACGAGTACTAGGTAAGGATGGCAGATCAATAGATGAAGTGGTGAAACTTCATCAGTTGAGGTGGTTGGGACATGTGTTACGTATGGCTAACCACCGACTGCCTCGACGAGCTATGTTTTGTGGTGTAGGAGTAGGTTGGAAGAAGGCTAGGGATGACCAAACCAAAACATGGCACAAATCCATGAAGTCTGACAAGTGGACTGAGTCATGTTGGTAGATGTAGACTACCTGGTTGGGGTCCGCGAGACGAAAGTCATCAATGGTTAGAGACCTTGAACGACATGGCTCAAAATCGTTTGCAATGGCGCAGGTGCATCCACTCTTTGAGCTCTCTCAAATCCTAATCTTCTGGATTCTTCAGCACCTCTAGTTTTGTCTTTCTAACCTTATCTCACTGAATTATATTTTTTGAATAATATCTTCGAACCCTAATCTTCTTTATTAACATTAATACCTCTACTATCTTTATCACTATGGGATTTGATTTGACATTTGCGTTTCTGTGCTAATAATGTGGTATGGCAACATGAACTTATGTACATACGTACGAAGTTCTACGTTGCAACTGACTGACTGACTGACTGATGTTTATTGGTGTAGACTACCTAGTTGAAGTTATGTTGATTATCGCAACCGGTGGTTAGATACTTTGAATGACATGACTGCAAATCATTTACAATGGCGTAGATGTTTCTATTCTTAGTCTCTTCCCTAAAACACTGAGCTTCTGATTTGTAACTTCTTGAATTATACCTTCGACCCCTAATATTTCCGATTACCGTTAATACTGCTACAACCTCTACTACTATGGGATTTTAATTAACCATTCGATCTCTTTGTGCTTATGTGGTATGAAAACTTGGTCTGATGTACGTATGTACCGAGTTCTACATAGTAGCTGACTGACTGATCACACATATACTTGTTAATAACATTTATATATGAAAAATAAAAGGTTAACCAGACAAATATAGTGTAATATTTGATTGGGTCGTAATTTTTGGTTACTGTTTTTCAAGAACGGTACTATTTTGACCTCGTTTTTTAAAATTTTTATTTTAACGCAGAAATGAATGGTTGCTTAAGTGATATATATGTTCTTAACACTTCAAACTCAAGCATGCAATTAGTGTTCTCTCATTTCAACGAAAGATCAATCAAGACTGTTTTATAAATCTAAGAAAATGCATGTTATGACAACAATAGGAAGAGAATTTCTTTTTCACATTGAGTATAACAATTATCATTTTTAAATAATCACATATTTACTAGAATAGTTACAGTTGTTTTTAATAATCTTTACTTTTTACGTATACAAATATGTATCCGTTCATCTAAGGCTTCATTACAAATATTATCTTAATCATCAAGCTTCAAATTCATATTTGTTTCATATTACCTATACAACAAACTGTTCATGACACCAATGTTTGAATGTTATACAGTTTTTTTAACTGAGTTAATTTAAAGCTAATTTTTGTTTAATCGCTGCATTATGCAAATTACTGTACACACTGATGCATAAAATCTTTTTATTTCACCATGGTGTTCTCATTAATTATTCTCTTAAAATATGTTTATATAAATAATAAATTTTTTTTTTAAAAAAATATTTATTTTCAAGGTACGACATCAACGATGACTGAATCAACACTTGCAAAAAAACAACAACATCAACATTCATCTCATGTTACTTTTAATTTGGATTGTACAGATCATTCTCCATTGATGCTATCAGGCGAGTAAGTTTTGATCTAAATTTATCATGGAAATTAAGTGTCGAACTATTTATTTCATTTTATACTAGTGTTTGCTTTAAAAATAGTTGTCTATACCCTAGTTTAACGCTTTATCCAAAGTGATAATCTAGTGTTTCATAGTTTTGCTTCAGGTATTGAGTGCCTTACTTGTTCCAAGTATTTTAATCTGTTCATAGATTAATGTAGAATTAGTGATTTGTGAATTCGCAACTGTTCTACACATATTTTATGTGAGAGATTTAGAAACAAAATACAGTTTTTGACGATTTCCTGTCGCCTAAGTCGCAGTTGGTTAACAACTAATCACTCCTCGCCTGAGTCCAATGTGATTTGTTTAACTGTTGCTTCTAATTTGTCATACGGTATCTCCTCGAGAATATGGTCTAATTGATTTCTTACCTTTGACACTATATCATTCGGTAACATATCAGCCACGTATACTTTATGTGAAGTGTGCAATCGAAAACCATGTATCAAGAACCGCTTAAAAGTGTACAAATCACCTACAGACGATGTGAAATTTGTTTGTCGGTAACCTTGTCTTTCCAATGGTGAATGGAAAAGGATGTTTTCAATTTCGGAAATGTCTTATAATGGCAGCAGTAATGTTGATTTATTATGTCTCATATAGAATTATAATCATGAAATGAGATTGTACCAATCAACATCGTTATGCACGTACGTGATTTATCTCAACCTTTGGACAAATAAATTATTCTAATCTCGCCATTCATTTTGTCATCTATGTGTGAAGCCTTAAGTATATGTGTTTCGATAGAACGTATTTGTCTGTATACTTGTATCTTTTTGATGATTGAACTATAAAGACATTGATTATTCACTAAGTAGGCACATTTCCCTCCTCAGTTTATCATGTGTCGTCTGCTTGGATTAACCGATGTATAAAATACATATGTCCAAAAACACTTGTATTCAACTCGTTCCATTCCGGTATACACTAAAGCGGTTCATTCTATGAATGTATACGTTATTAATTAAAGAACTACATATCATCATTTTTCATTGATATCAAACATAGTAGGACACGATTACAATCGAATTAAAAACAGTTAAAGTTGCAAAACAGTTATTGTGACTTATATATTAAAAATTAATAATAAAAGAATCTTGAAATAGTTAAGACGACTGTTTAGAATTCAAACCTATTTTGATTTATAATTCCAAATGCAAAATTCGGAGCATAATACCTCCAGGTTTACGTCCAAAAAAGATTTGCCGAATTCGGATACATAAATCATACTGTAAAACTGTTGATTTACTGGTTAGAGGAGTGTTACAGGGCGTCATTAGGAACATGGGGTTTATTAAGAGGCACTGTATAGTTGATTGTTAATCGGTTTAAAAAATATATTGAAAATGGAATATTACCATTTCTTAACAAATTGTTTAGTATCATTAAAGAAAGATATACAATTCGGTTAAGATTTAGGAGATAGGACTATCGCAAAGTTTATTTACCAATTAAGCTCGTCTAATCATTTCTTCAGAACCAATAGGAAAAACGAAAACTGGTTGAAAGGATCTCAATAGTCATAAAGCAAGACAATGGTTCTTTCAAGTTATCCACCTACTGAAGGTTCAACTGAAAATTCAAAGATGTTAAGAAGGGATCAAGTGTAAGATTATGAATTAATTGAATAGGACATTTGATTGTTTTCGCAGAGAATTATTAATTTTGTGTATAAAAATTTCTACTCATTTCCTTAGTTCACTCATGCATAGCTTTTAAATTCATACATGTTGACCATTAAATTCAGATTTTATTCAATAGATTTATAACAAATTCTATGAAAATTGGTTATGTATGTATGATTTTGTGTATAATTGAACATAAATCTGTCAGTTTGTTCTCTCATTTAACTTTATAAATAAATTATTTACTATTATTAGATGCATTGTTTTTTTCCTTACATCTTTTGTAAACTCAATAGAAGTGTTAATGAAAATTTATATATAACAGGTAAACATGCAGATTGTTTTTTGATGGTTCTTACTAAATCTAATCAAGAAAACATATCATCTGTCAATAATGTTCCATCTTTTATTTAGTCAACAAAACATTCTATCATAAAGTAGGGAAATGCGTTGGTTCATGCGTTTCGAAAAATTTCGTTTTGTTTTGTCAATATATCCAGTACCACAAGAACAGATAAACTTGTTGTTAGGATATTCACCAAATATCCTAAGAATACTATTTTTAGAACTGCAATCTTATTGGTCGAATTCTAT